TCTCTCTCTCTCTCTCTCTCTCTCTCTCTCCGTTTGAGCGCATATTGTATTGGGTGTGCACTGTACTGGATATGGAGTGTAATTGTCGAGGTTGGTATGTGTTGCGATGTTTGTATTTTGACGCCCTTGTCTGCATCACCGTTGGTTGTTGTTGGTTTTATTACAAGTTTTGTATTTTTTTTTTCTGGTCGTTTTTTCTGTTCATCTTCTGTTCACTTCATTTCGGATGTTACCACATTGACAACATTACAAGTTCACGAAAGGGGAAAGACAATTGTCGATGACGAACCAGGCCCGCTTTGCATGTGGGTTTTGCATGTGGGACTTGTCATGTACGATCGATTTTTGGTCTTCATTGATGGGTTTTTGGTCTTCATTGATGTTGGCATTTCCTTTGTTGTGTAGTATGTCGGTTCACTACGCCTTTCTTCTTTGCCTCTTTGACCTTTCACCGATTGCAACGGGCTGGACATGACACATGTTGCTCGTGCAACGTGCCGATCAACCCGCATCGACGGGGGCGGACTCGAACGCAAAAGGTTGTGAACAGAGGGTGTTGCAAGACAAAGTGAACATATATATATATATATATATATATATATATATATATATATATATATATATATATATATATATATATGTAACGGGTGGAGAGACATCGAACGATCGACCACTCGGTCTGCCAAAAGATCGTTCAATCAATTCTTCGGCGAACCCTAAAAGGATCAACCAATCAATCAATCAACCAAACAATCAATCAATCAACCAATCAATCAATCAATCAGTCAACTAGGCAATCAATCAAGCAATCAATCAATCAATCAATCAATCAATTAATCAATTAATCAAACAATCAAACAATCAAACAATCAGTCCACGATGTGACAATTGAGCAAACAATGATATTGTCTATCGAACGATCAAACAATTCACCTTCGCGATGAATGCACAAATTGCGGACTCATAAAAAAAGACACCCGGCGTGGACATGTAAAGTCACTGCGTTGACACACCGAAAGAGCGATCAATCGACCAATCTGGAGAGAGAGAGAGATGGATAGAATGATAGAATGCTAGAATGGAGAGAGAGAGAGAGAGAGAGAGAGAGAGAGAGAGAGAGAGAGAGAGAGAGAGAGAGAGAGAGAGAGAGAGAGAGAGAGAGAGAGACATGTTGTCCTTCACAAAAAAATCGTCGGTTGTTCGGTACAACAGGCACACACCCACACACACATCGATGATTGCGCTATCTCCACGGACATGGCGGGTGTGGACCATGAACATCCACATGATGGGCCACATGTTCAATCAAGCTAGCCCTGACCCTCGCTCCGAGGTCGGAACCGTAACTAGGATCAATCTCCGGCATGGCTTCGATGTTCAGATCAGGAATGTGACGTGGCAATCGCCGGTGGCGGCGCCGACGTCGACGGCGGTTGCGTGTCGGCCCGTCACCCTCACTGTCGCTACTGTGGTTCAACTGGTCCGGGTCGATCTCCACCCTGTGCTCAATCATGAGGTTGTGTAGTATCCTCACAACCATGAATTCCTTGCACAGCGTCTCCAAGTTCGCAATGTGAGTGCGGATGAAATTCGTCCATACGGTCTTCAAACGTCCGAATGTCCGCTCTATACAAGATCTCACCGCTGAGTGACATTCGTTGTAAGTCCGATCTGCATCAGTTCTGGCGAATCTTCCCATAGGTGTCATGATCCACGGGAGAAGGGGATAACCGACATCTCCAAGCAGGTAATGACCCACGTGTGTCCCATCGTGCATGATAGCTCCACCCTCGTATAACACACCTCTGCCTGCCATGGTGTTGTGGTACAGTGGCGACATCCACAGCATACGAGAGTCGTCCACGGACCCAGGGCAACCGACATACACACTGACAATTCTGCACTCGTTGTCACACACAACCTGGGCGACGACCGAGAAGTCTCCAGTGTGATGATAATAGCACTCTGACCGCGTCCCGTTTGGCTTGTCAATATACACGTGTGTGCAGTCGATGGCCCCCACACATCCGGGAAACCCCTTCGCCTCGAAAGCATTCTGGACTTCTTCCAAACGCCTTCCTGTAGGGAATTGGAGGAGGTGGCCGTACTTGTGGAGGATAGCATCTGCGACGTCCTCGTTGCTTCTCAACGCACTCGCAAGGCCCAGACCTAAACTGTGGGCCAATTGCCAGTAGTACCCGCCCGTCGCCCATCGGATCAGTGCGCAAGCGAACTTCTGTCCGGCCAGTAGAGGCAACCGAAAATTGGTAGGCGCACGCTGGATATGGGGGGTGATGCGCTGGAGAACTTGCAAAAATAGTGGTCGCGGTAATCTGCAGAACCGCACGAACACGTTATTGTGCTCCCCACCCACCCTTTGCAGGTCCTTCCACAAACCTCCGCTACGCTCCAACATCCACAAACGCCTTCTCCGAAACCTTAGGTGTCTTCCCAACTCCTGCGCTGCCAACCAGCTCAACGCCATTCCGTGAACCACCCCCCCTGCAAGCATCGTCAGCGCCCCCGATACATCCCGGAACATGAACGGGGTGATGGTGACTGCTTCAAGAATGGCCATGGCCGCAGCGTTGCGCTTATTCACCCACTGGGTCATGAGGAGAATGAGCATGAACATCATGTCCTCCCACTCCTCCTCCGCACTAGCCACATCCGATGGAGACATGGCCAGAATGTCATTGTTATGGGAACAGCGTCGACCCTTGCACACCAGCTATAGCGGCCGCTTGACGATCACACCACCTTCCACAACCCCTATTCCTCGTCAACCCCTCCACCACAATCGCCGGCTATGGCTTCCCGTCAGTGCTCCGTGCATGCACTCCCACTCTGGAAGGACCGCGTCGGGGAACAGTGGTACCAACGGCAGGAGTGGGGCGGGCGAGTGTTGGGGGGCGATGGAGTGGGACACCCGTCGATATTCCCAACGGTCATTTCCGTGCACAGTCCCACCCCGGCGGCGAGCGGACCATGCGAGGCCGTTGTGATGTGCACGGTACCTGTGCGGCGTGCGCCACACGTGGTCGCGCACGGCCACACACGGACATGTCCTGGTGCATGCCGATAGAAGGGCCTGGACCACATCCCCGGGCCTACTTGCCTTTTCGGGAAACACCCTGGGCGGATTTCCTAATCGGGCATGGAAAAGAGTTTCCAGTCCCTAAAGTCCAGGGCTGCGGTGGGGTCCCAACAAAACGCGGAAAGTTCTTTCCAAACACGGTCGGCCGTTTTTTATGGCCAACAGCACTTTCCAGCCGCCGGCCAGTGGGGTCCAAACCTAACTCTGCCCACAAGGAATGACTTCCATTCTTTTTTTTTTTTTTTTTTTTGTGGAAAAAGTCAGGATTCCTTTAGCATTATATCACAGGAAAGGAGGCAGGGAATCCTCACAAACAACCCGGGAAATTGAAAAGAAAACGTTGCCCAGTTCCGGCCGGGGTTGATGCCCCATTGTACCAGGCCAGTGTGCATCTGTGACTAAGAAACAGAGCCCTCTGCAAATATGTGTGATTCTACTCAGCTTCAGTTAGCTACGATGAATGTACCACCTACAACAATTATACTGCACAGTCAGCCTAAGCGGCTGAATGGAGCCTAAAATGGATCCCGGTAATTGTAGCACTCTCAAACCTCCATTCTGAAGAGAAGACTCCCCATACTGCCTGTCTACTGAGACTTAAGGAACCGAGTGCTCTGGTATCTAGGAAGCAGCTGTCAGCCACGGGCAGATCTTCAGCTTGATCTTCATTGCCATCTGCCTATCTCTTCCCCAAGTTCTGCTGAACCATCGCTGTCGCTGTCTGCCTTTGTCCAAAACGCGCCTGTGCCATTCCGCTTGGATGTAGTGGCGGACTTGTACTTCGATCAGGGTCTTGGTTTCCACGTCTGCCATTCCGTGTGCCTAAAAAATCCTTCTGTTTCTGTGTTGCCAATTGACTCGGCAAATAATGGCTCTGCACGCCTGAGCCACATAGCCCCATCCTGAGCTATCAGACCTGCGCTCTGGCAGGAAGCCTAAGAGTACCCACTCTTTATCGCAGTCAAATTAGCAGCCAGCGAAGGCTCTCTAATGCTCTTGTTCTCTTTTTTTTTTTTTTTTTTTGCAAAAAACAGCCACGGAGGCAGCTTGAGGTGCTGGTAGGAGCAGTCACTTCATGCCGGTCCGGGGGAGGCTCCATCTATTGGTGGGGAGCAGCACCTGCTGGGAAACGGGCCCAGCGTCCCATCTTACAAATTTCACAGGATACACAGTATTATACATATAGGCCGCCTGATGCAGGCATGCAGGCGTACATTCTCCACCATATAGTGCGTCTGGTGTGAATGTTGGTGTGTATGTTGTGTATGTTTCAATGTATATGGTTCAGTAGTTTAGTGGTGACTGTTGTTGCATTTAGAAGCTTTTGTAATACTGTATTGAGTCCTAAATCCTAGTGTTTGAACTTCATTTCACAGTGCCGTATTTCTGTATTGAATCCCGACACTTGACTACTGGTATATGAACTCTGTGCATAGTGTGTGTGATGTGTATGTTACCAAGAAAGGATGCGATGCAATCTACGGCTGCATTTAGCAGCATTTGGCAATGCTATTCTGAGGCCTATCACTAAGCAGCATTTGTCAGTGCAGTATTGAATCCCAACTACTGATGCATAACCACTTTCTACGGTAGCAGCTCTCTGATGAGGGTCGTAATGTAGCCCGTCCCTGGCCGGCTTGGTGGTAGGGGTGGGGGGAGGGG